GCCAGGCGCCTGTTCTCGAGTCCGTTGATTAATTTCTCCGCTAACAATTTCCGTGTCTGTGGAGACACTTTTTTATACGTATTGTGTGTACACTTTAAAGCAACTTGTTTTGTCTCCGTTGTGATTAAAATTCCTTTTAAAATTTTTATTTCGGTAGAGGATTCGGTAAAAAGATCGTTCCAACAAACGAATAATTAATAATTATTTTTGCGTACAAATTAAATCGTAACATACTCGAGATATAAAGACTTTTTTTTCTTGGAACGTCGTACTACTTGTTTTTCCAACAATTGTGTCTGTCATTCGTCTGCAGTTTGAGATAGATCAGTGAGAAGAGATGCGACGAAGACGAAGATAGTAAACGATTAAAAGTTGCATTGATATTCCTCGAGAAAACCGGAAATCGTATGAGGATAAATGAAAAAGCGTTCTAAAGATTCCAATAATACGATTCTAATTAATTCGTCGATTAAAAATCATTACAGACGTAAATTTTTCTTAATTTTTAATATATCGATTTCAATATAGAAACTTCTCTTTTAAATTTAAACTCTCTCTTCGATTTTAAAATTAAATTTTTCTCGAATCTTCTTTATCTCGAGTTAAATCCATCAATTCTGTCATCACAGTGAGACCATTGTGCTTCCAGACAAAGCACTTGCATATATATATATCATAAACTTTCGAACTCCTCCAACATCTCTTCTTCTCGCTTGTGAAAACGCAATAATGCTTCACAATACTCGATCCTCTCCGATTCTACGATAGATAATCGGATAGATAAATGGTACCAGGGACGAATAAATTCGGTCGGATTTTCGCACGTTGCATGGACATGCGCTAACTGTTTTGTTTATACCGTCAATTGTCATGGCGGGAAAATGGGTCAGGTACGATTTAACGCGGACGCGCGAATCATCGTGGTGGAGAAGAATAGTCGCAGACGACCCAGTTTCCTCAGTCGATTCAATGAAACGTTGTATTGTTGGCTTAAAATCGAATCGCGTTAACAGATCTCCTTTGTGATCAGCGAGGGCAATAAAATTTCTCTCTAGATCCACGACCTAGTAACGTCGCGATTCAACTCGATGTAAATCCAATTCGAATGTAATTCAAAAAAAGAATAAAAAAAGAAGAGAGAGAGAGAGAGAGAAAGAGAAGTCATGTTACGTAAATGATAGAAATTTTTTTGATCGATACAAAATGGCACTAAATTTTTTTTTAATCTTAGCAAACATCTTTAATGTTGTTAGAAACGTTATATAAATTTCTAATATTATTCGATTACAAATTGAATTAAATTGAGAGATTGAGTTTTTTAAATCTTCTCTTAAATCTTCTTTTACTTTTATTATTTCATTGGATAATTTTATAGCGAGATTGATTAACGATTTGGCTGCCTTTATTATAGAGGATTAAACGTTACAGCTTTTGCATAAGAGGGGCATGAATAAGACTGCGCAATCGGTAGCGGGATGAATAAAAGATGTCACAGTATCTTGTTAAATCGGCTTCGACGGGTAACGACTGTAAATGACGATCCAACCAGATGTTCTATGGTGTGACTCATCCTGTCGCGAGGTTAACTAACAGAAATTTAGATTTGCTGTTAATTTCGAATGAATAGCCAATTGAGAATGCTTCTGCATACATTCGAACGATTAATCACATTCCAAACCCCTTCTATACCTCCCATAAGTTCCCATTAACCTTGTATCGAAGGAAATTCCTGATCAATTTATTTCTAAAATTCCGCAAAAACGGTACCCTTCGCCGGATCATTGATTCCAATCATTGATTCAGAAAAACAGGAATCGAAAAACAAACATGGAGAAAATAATAATCTAATATCTTAAATTCCATAAAAACGAAATATTTAATCGTTTATCCAATACTTGACAAAAATTATTTAATAATAACGAAATTAAGTTTATATTTCACTAGAATTTCTTTAAAAATTTTTGTTAAGTTTTCATAAGAATTGAAAATACTAAAGAAAATTATCCAATGTAATTCCCAAATTCCCATAAAAATGAATCCTATTATTATAGACTCTTTAATTAATAAAATCATAAAACCATTAAATAATATAGCAAAATTGTGAATTAAACTATCATTTAACTGATGTCAATTGCAACATGTCACACAACTAATGTCAATTACAGCTGTACATTGTATTTTCTTTTAAATTTCCCAAGTTTCAGATTAATCAATTATAAATCAATTAAAGCACTATTCCTGACATCTATTATATTATTTTATTCTCGTTATATGGTCTTTACTATGCCGCATCATTGCTACAAAATGGCATTGACGTCACCTCTCAAAACTCCAATTTCCCAACATCCGACGTAATTTACTTAACAGTCGACTAATTTCACGATTCCTACTGTACTAGATCATTTTTATAAAACGACATCAACATCATCTTTCAAAATTCCAACTCTAATACTATCCTATACACTGTTACTTTTTATTTAATTTCAACAACGTGAAATTATGGCAACAACGTGATATCAACCTAACCTAACTTAACCTATAAACCTCGCTACATTATCATTACAAAATGGCAATGACGTAGCATCGGCCATCTGCAACCTAACCTAATCTAAACTTCATTGCATCTGCTGCATTAGAATCATTGCTACAAAATGGCAATGACATTGCATCTGTAACCAGACCTAACCTAATCATCTGCAACTTAATCTAAATCAGCATCTCGATCACGAAGTCAAGGTCGCCGATATATTCGAATATACCGACCTAGTTTCTCGCCAGAGCAGACGGTCCCGGTTCGTTCTCCGTGCTGATTCATCCTGCGTCTGGCCTTGTCTTCCGCTCGAAGCTTGTCTCTGGTCGGTGGGGAGGCGCTGCTAGCTGGTTGATCCTTGTAGCTCGATCTACCCTCGTTGGGCACGATCGGTGGCTTCTCCGTCAACGAGTTGACGGACGACACGGTGGTCGAGGTCGACGTGGTCGTGTACACGGTGCTGGACACGCTCCCGTTCATGGTGGATGTGGATGGAACGGAAGTTATGTAGGTGGAGCCACCGTTCTCAAGAGGCGTGCTGGTTCTAAGGGGTGACACGTTGGCGGTGACACGATGGTCGTTGCTGTTCTCCACCACGTTACCGTTGCTCATCGACGTGTTGCTGGTCGTCGTTACCACGCTGTTGGTCACCAGAGATGGCGTGGAGGAGAAGACTGATGCGCAAAGGTCTGCGGGAACGTTCGTTTCCGACGAGATCCACGTGTTGCTGCGGGGCTCTGAACGACAGCTGTTGAACCGTGGTCGAGGTGGATTCGGCGTGTTACCTGTAAGGATACAATTGTGATAGGTTAGAACTGGTTGTAGAGAACTGATATAGATCGTAGATTTTTGATTTATTGTCTATAAAGGTAATTGATAAGTTAGGTAAAGAATTGATTGAATATTAAGCTTTACTTTTTATAAATTGAAAGAGGAAAATCTATATTTAATTCACTTTCAAGTGATATTTATAAGACTTGTTCAATATCACGATGGATGAAATATTAATCACTTCGTATCGAGAGTATGTCACAAGTGCAATTCTTACAAACATCATTAATAAAAAAAGTTATTAGCCACACTCACTTCTGATCGTAGGAGTGACCTGAAGAATGGTGGTCTGTCCACCGGGGAACGTCGCATTCCTCTTATGCCGGCCCTGGAAAACAAATACCAACATCAATTAAATTCCTTCTATCATTCTTCCATAAATCAATTACAAATTCACATTGATATACATCCACCGATAAAAGT